TGAAGCTATCCTCCTCTACTACTTTAGGTGAAATATTTACGGGGCCTTACAAACCCGATCCCACCATATCATTATAATTAATGTCATAATCCTCCATTATTACACCATATTATCATTTATTAATAGCAAGAGTCACGTATATCATGGTAGGCTAGAAATATGATTATTTGGCTACTTTGCACCTATTATTTGCTACACTTTAATTGTATTTGAGCTAAAATATGGACAATATATACTCATTATGTGTTTTTATTGTGTAGGATGAGAATCCGGGCTAAGAAAAGTTTTTGGAGCTAAAATTGTTTACCCTAAAAATGGATAACAATTAAATTTATAAGTGGTTTTAAGGATAGGCGGATTAATTCAATAAAAATGATGAATTACGTTATATTAAACAGATAAATGACGTAACAAATTGTCAAACCAATTAAGGGAAGTGATCCCGGACATAGTAACAACTTTAATGGAATGCCTACCTTCGATCCCGGGCTCACGTTAATGATGAACTGATGAACAAAAGTGGGAACTTTGAATAACAGAGAAAATAAGAGTATATTGCCTTAATATACGTGTTACAATATTCCTAATAAATAATCAGACCCTTTTATATAATAAGAGAGTTTTACCTTAAGTACAATTCCATAAAAGGTAAAAAAATTTCATCTTACTAATCACTGATTTTCTGTCGATATGTGCTGAGATTCACGCCGTGACATCCGGATGGTCACGGATATCACGTCCCTTTGTTGGTCGTGCTCGATTATCTGGTAATGCTTTGTGAGGTTTTTGGGATTCGAATCGAACCTGCGGGTCGTAGCCCCGATGCTTCCAAGGGCATGTGTTTTGCCCGGACCTTGACTCGAGGTCTCCTTGCCTCGATCCTGGTTCCTTGCACTCATGTCTCTTACTTCGTTTACTTCATCAAAAACCGAGGTGTCCCACTAGCTCAGTTTTACCCGTATACAGATAGTCCTCTTGTTTCTTGGAGAGTAAGTTTACGGAGATGACGAGAAATGACATGTGCACTTTGATTCCTTGTTCAATACGCCGTGACATAAACGATAAAGAATCTGACACATCTTATCAGTTGTGTCATTATGAATTCAAATGCGTGCCAGCCATCGACTGGTCATCCTTGGATGTGAAACAGCGCGAAGCCTCTATAAATACTCCCCTCCTTCGTTCATTTTTTTACCTTTTGACCAAGCTTCTACCTTCGATTCTTCAGGATATCACTGCCCTTCTTGATTCTCTAACATTTTTACCTCCGTTCTTCAAGACTCCTCAGTAAATTACAAGCTTTTACTTATTTTCTACTCAAACCAATGCACTTGAACTTTCATCTTCCAACCTTTCTTCATATTTTTTAAGCCTTTTCTGGATAACAATGGCTAAAACTTCCAAAACTATTCCCCAAAAAGTTACTTCATCTTCTTCACAACCGACCGCTAAAGTCGACGAGGCCACTCCCGATGTGGTCGTCCTCGAGAGATCCATTCTTGGTGCGGCTACCGATGAATCGGCTACCGAGCTTCCCTTGAAAATTTTTGTTCCCAGGGGGTGCTTGGTTGCCGATGACTTTAAAGTTGAAAAGCCCTCGTCGGTGCAAGGCTGATGTGAGGCGGTATCTAGGTATATTTTCTCCTTATGGTTCGAAAGGACTACGATTGGGTGAATAAGGACGTAGTTGTCCCCGGGCCCGAGGACGCTATTACTACCCATGTGGAGGGGTATCTGAGTGTTTACACTTATCCCTTCACATTGGGCCTAGTAGAACCGGTTATTTTGGACTTCTGCAAGAGGTATGAAGTATGTCTCGGTCAGATCTACCCGTCACTGTGGCGGATCGTAATCCTTCTTCGATACTTTGTGAACAAGACCGAATCCCGTCGGTTCACCATCGATCATTTTCTCTGCCTAAACAGTCCCCGAATCTTTTGAGGGGGACAGATAAATCTTACACGCCGGGCTAGCAAAGCCACATTCTCGAGCATCGATGAGGACTGGGATCGGGGATGGCAGGGACGCTTTGTCCGGGTGAAGACCACAGACTTGATCCCTTTTGAGCTTATGCCATTCCTCGAGAAGTGGAATGTGTCATGTAAGCACAACTTTCCTTTAAACGTCGATTTTACGTTCATCTCCTTTTTCCTCACTAGTATTTGTGGTGGTGTAGCTGCTGCTCGAGTCCCAAACGCCATTCTTAGGTTCAAGGAGTGGATCGAAGGAATTTGTTCGTAGATGCCTTATTTTGATGGCACATGGCGCGATCTCTCGAAGGGCCACTGGGAGACCCATTCTCATGGTAAGATCTTGATGGTAGGCTATAATTGCATATTTTAGTTTCTTATCGCACTCTAATTTACTGCACTCTTATTGTGTTTGAGCCTTAATCGCTAGTGTTTTGCACTTATTGTGTGTTTATGCCTTGTATGAGCGATTCTGAGTTATGTAGATATTGTGGAACTAATTCGAGCTATATGGAGCCTTGAAATCTGAGTAAAAGCCCAAGGGATTAAGTCGGGATCGTGTTCGGGGGTCAAGGATCAATTTTGGACATCAAAATTCAAGGAAGAAGCAACTGCTGAAGAAATGCATTAGTGCGAGGCACTGTGCGACGCATTAGGGAATATTTTTGTCAGAAATTTCCAAAGTTCAGAGATTGGGTTTTTTATGGTCTGACAGGAAAAAGCATTAGTGCGACGCACTGTGCGAGGGACAGTGCGACGCATGGAAAGCATTAAGTTTGCAAGTTTTCCTATTTCGGCTAGGAAAGGGAGATTTCATCTAGGTCCGACCCTACTTGGTATAAATACATGGAAAAACGTTATTTTCTGGACTTTTGACACACTTTAGACCTAGAGACACACGAGCAACATTCGGGAGCAAGGATATCTCAGATTTCTTCATCTTTTCTTAGTATTTTCAATTATCCAACACTTATGAATTTGTTTGATACTATCATGAGTGGCTAAAACCCATAGTTCTGGGGTTGTGATTTAGCCATGAATATTGTTGTTTAACGTTGACTTAATCTTGATTACGATTCACCAATATATGGTTGTTTCTTTATTTTTGTGATTAATTGCTTAATTGTCTGCCCAAAAGTTAGGTTATATTGACTATCTATGCTATGCTTAGGAAAGCCATGTTTAGATTAGATAAGAATTGAAGAGAGCACGATCTTAACTTTGAGGGAGGCAGATTTGTGATTAGGATAGAAATATACCTAGTCACCATGCTTAATTAAATATCATAATCTTAATGCGTTCTTAATTGACTGATTTCATAGGAATATAGGCGTTAATCTATTTTGAATAGGCGAGTAGTACTTCGGGAGAAGGCTATGAGAGCAATTGTTCGATTAATTAGCAATCATGAGTGAATTGTATGAAATGGAGAGTTAACTAAAACACAATAGGATTGGTGAATCGATCACAACCCTAGAATATTGTCTCTGCTGAATACACAACAACCGTTTTGCTACTTGATAATTTAGTTACTACTTAGAATTATAGTTTAATATAATTAAACTCTTGAACTTGAATTGGCTCGACTGAATAACAATCTTGGTAAATTTAGTGGGTAGTGTCTCTGTGGATTCGATACTCGACTTATCATTTGATTACTTGTACGACCACGTATACTTGCGTGTGCATTTGGGAGCAATAAGTTTTTTGCGCCATTGCTGGGGACTTGAATATTGACTACTTTCTAGTTTTTGCTTTCATTGTTTATTTCGTCAAGTCTAACGTTACTTGATTGTTGCTTTGATCTTCCGAACTTTGATTGAATGCGCAGGGTCAGAAACCAAGACAGATTTCAAGGCTTTGACCACGAACCTGAGAGAACATTTCACAAGAGGTTGAGGGAAGCAAGGGATACAAATAATCTTCAGACACTTGATCAATTTCCTATGAACATGGTAGAGGAGCAACATATGGTTGTTCAAGAGGTGGCGATGCCCAGCATTGCTAATGTCACCTCCAGCATTGTGAAACTCAGAATCACTAGGCACTTTGAGCTGAAACAGAGCATGATCCAGCTACCACATGCGAATGGACAGTTTATGGGTCTTCCACACGATGATCCAGAACAATACATCCTAAACTTCTTGTAGATTAGTGATACCTATATCACCAACGGAGTCACTCCAGACTATGTGAGGCTCACACTTTTCACGTTCTCTCTATTGGGCGAAGCAAAGCGATGGCTGAAGGTAGAACCAACTAATTCTATTATATCATGGAATGATCTGGCAAGGAAATTTTTGGCAAGGTTCTTCCCTTCAAGCAAAACTGCAAAGATCAGAAGTGAGATAGTCGCCTTCAAACAGAAAATGGGGGAGTCTTTATACTCAGCTTGGGAGAGGTTGAAGGGGCTGCTCAGAGACTGTCCTCATTACAATAAGACAAATGGAGTGTTAGCTCACACTTTCATAGAAGGGCAACATCCCGAAACAAAGATTGTGGTGGATGCTGCAACTGGAGGTCAAGTGTTGGAGAAAAGCTTTGATGAGATATATGCGTTATTGAACAAATTCTCCAAAAGCAATCCTGATTGGCAAGGAGAGATGGGCAGACACACAATGTAAAAAATCTGCAGGGGTTCTCGAGTTAGATGTCGTCTCTGCATTATCAGCGTAGATTTCCACATTGACCAACCAAGTCAATCAGATAACCTTGGTTATTAACAAGCAACAAACCCAGCCAGTACAATAAGTTCAATTGTTTTGTGAAGTATGTGGAGAGGGTCATACAAGCGACTTATGCCCAGTTAATCCAGAGTCTGTCTGTAGTAATGCAAATAGGGGCTAGACAAACCAGTATGGGAATACCTACAACCCCAATTGGAGGAACCACCCAAACTTCTCTTGGGGTGGAAACCAAGGTGCTCAGAATCAATATAGGCCTCAAGCACCTCAATAACAATATAGACCACCTTAGGCTGAACAACGTGAAAACTCAACGAGTCACCTTGAGGATATAATGAAAAAATTAATGGGTGATCAGCAGGCCCAAGCAGCAACAATGAGAAATTTGGAGCGACAAATGGGACAACTTGCCAGTGCCCAAAATACTCGACCAGTTGGAGCTCTTCCAAGAGACACTGAGGCTAATCCTAAGGCATCTATTAATGATGTGTCATTGAGGAATGAGAGACATTTAGAAGAAGTCTAGTCAAAAAAGAGAAAACAAGTGACCTTAATAAGGAGTCGACCATTATTGAGTCGGAATTAGAAAAATAAAAGGAGTTAGAGAAGCCAGCTGAAGAGGCGGTGGCTAAACCTCCACCATTAGTTGCGAGGCCACCACCTCCGTTCCCTCAAAATTTGCAGAAAGTGAAGGATAATGTTTCGTATAAAAAGTTTATTGATATTTTGAAGCAAGTGCAAATCAATATTCCACTAGTAGACATTCTGCAAGAAGTGCCCAAATATGCAAAATACATCAAGGACATAGTGGCAAATAAAAGGAGGTTGAATGAATTCAAGACTGTGGCACTCATTGAGGAATGTAGTTCTAGAATCCAAACCAAGCTACCTCAGAAATTGAAGGATCCGGGTAGTTTCACTATCCAAATCTCGATTGGTAAGCATGCAGTCGGGCGAGTTTTGTGTGATCTTGGAGCGAGCATCAATTTTATGCTGCTATCTGTATTCAGACAGTTGGGGTTGGGTGAGCCACGCCCAAAAATGGTAATATTATAGTTGGTTGATTGCTCTCTTGCTCATCCTGAAGGAGTGATTGGAGATGTGTTAGTTCAAGTGGGTTCTTTCATATTCTCTGCTGATTTTATTATCTTGGACTACGAGCCTGATCACGAAGTCCCATATATTTTGGGGCATCCATTTTTAGCCACGGACCGAGCTATTATTGATGTATGCAAAGGAAAGATGACGATGAGAGTTGGTGATCGAGTGGAGGTATTCAATATGTATAAAGCACTTAGATTGCCAGCCCACTATGAAGAGCTATCCATGATTTCTATGGTGGAAAGTGGTGTTACGTCATTGGTGCCTTGTATGAGCCCCTTAGATCCTCTTGAACGAGCTTTGATTGGGGATGAAGAAGACAGTTAAGATGAGATGACGGGATAAATTGAGCAAGTACTTGACATGTCTTGCAGTTATGTCCATGGGTTTGGGAGATTTGAGGAGTTGGACAGGCCTGTAACTCTGACCCCTCCTAAGCTATCTATTGAAGAAGCTCCAAATCTAGAACTTAATCCCCTTCCAGCGCATCTACGCTGTGCTTATTTGGGGAAATCTGAGACATTGCAAGTGATTATCTCATCCATCTTGACTAATGTACAAGAATAAAAACTGCTCATAGTACTTCACGAACATAAAAAGGCTATTGGGTGGACAATTGCTAACATCAAGGGAATCTGTCCATCATTTTGAATGCATAAAATCTTTCTGGAAGATGGACACCGCCCCAGTGTTGAGCAGCAAAGGAGTTTAAATCCCATTATGAAAGAGGTCGTGAAGAAGGAAGTAATCAAGTGGCTCGATGCAGGTATCATCTTTCCTATCTCTGACAGCAACTAGGTAAGCCCAGTGCAATGTGGGCCCAAAGGGGGGGGGGTTGAATGTGGTAGAGAATGAGAAAAATGAGCTAATTCCTACTCGCACCGTAACAGGGTGGAGAGTTTGCATTGATTACAGAAGTCCCAACAAAGCAACCCACAAAGACCATTTCCCACTTCCATTCATTGATCAAATGTTTGAGATATTGGCGAGGCATGAATATTATTGCTTTCATGATGGTTATTCGGGGTATAACCAGATTGTCAAATGCCCAGAGGATCAGGAGAAGAGCACTTTTACTTGTCCTTATGGCACTTTCGCCTTCAAGCGTATGCCGTTTGGTCTTTGTAATGCACCAACCACTTTCCAGAGATGCATGATGGCTATTTTCACCGATATGGTGGAAAAATTTGTGGAAGTCTTTATGGATGATTTTTCAATCTTTGGGTCTCCTTATGACGACTATTTGAAGAATTTGAGCAAGGTGTTAGCCCGTTGTGAAGAAACAAATCTAGTGTTGAATTGGGAAAAGTACTATTTTATGGTGCAGGAAGGCTTCGTGTCGGGTCACAGAGTGTCTAGAAGCGACATTGAAGTTGATAAGGCGAAGGTGGAAGCGGTTGAAAAATTACCTCCACCCATTTCTGTGAAAGGTATCCAGAGTTTCTTGGGACACGTGGGGTTCTATCGGCGCATTATAAAGGATTTTTCAAAAATTGCTACTCCTTTTGTGCAGGTTGCTTGAAAAGGACATAACTTTAAATTTTGATGATGCCTTCCTGAAAGCATTTGAAGAGCTCAAAAAGAAGTTGGTGGCTGCCCCCATTATTGCGGCACCAGATTGGTCCTTACCATTTGAACTTATATGTGATGCAAGTAACCATGCTATTAGGGCAGTGCTAGGCCAGAGGAAAGTCAAGATGTTTTATTCCATCTACTATGCGAGTAAGACTTTTGATGATGTACAACTAAATTACATCACCACTAAAAGTGAGTTGTTAGTCGTCGTGTGGGCCTTTGAAAAATTTCGGGCAGACATGAGCAACTTTTTACTATCACCCAAGACCCTTACCAATGGTACGCTGACTATGTGAACTATCTTATGATTTGGGTACTTCCTCCTGAAATTGAATCTGAAGCTAGAAAGAGGTTTTTACATGATGTGAACTTCTACTACTGGGATGAGCCATACTTGTACAAGCAGTGTGCTGATTAGTTGATGAGGAGATCCATTCCAGAAAAGGAGGTGGAATTAGTGTTGTATGATTGTCATGCATCACCTTATGATGGCCATCATAGTAGAACATCTGCACAGGTATTACAATCTAGTTTTTTTTGGCCAACATTATTCAAGGATGCCCATGTATTTGTAAAGAAGTGTGACCAGTGTCAAAGAATATGAACAATCACAAAGAGGCATGAGATGCATTTGAATAACATCCTGGAGGTCGAGATTTTTGATGTGTGGGGGATAGATTTTAAGGGACCATTCCCATTGTCCATAGGAAAAAAATACATCTTGCTAGCAGTTGACTACGTGTCAAAATGGGTAGAGGCGATCGCATTGCCAATAAATGATACCATGGTGGTAGCTGCGTTTGTGAAAAAGAACATATTCTCGAGGTTTGGGACTCCAAATGCCTTGATTAGTGATGAAGGGACACATTTTTGCAATCGATTGTTGAATAACCTTCTATCTAAACATGGAGTCCGCCATAGAGTTGCTACGACATATCATCCGTAAATAAGTGGACAAGTTGAGGTGTCTAACAGAGAAATAAAGTAAATCTTAGAGAAGACAGTGAGTGTGAATAGGAAGGATTGGGCTGCAAAGTTAGATGATGCCTTGTGGGCGTATAGAACTGCATACAAAACGCCAATTGGGGCATCACCGTATAAGCTCATTTATGGAAAAGCATGTCACTTGCCTGTTGAACTTGAACACAAAGCATACTGGGCCATTAAAAAGTTGAATATGGACCTTGAAGTCACAGGTGAGAAGAGACTCTTGCAGTTGAATGAGTTAGATGAGTTCAGGCTGCACTCTTATGAAAATACTAAGTTTACAAAGAGAGAATGAAAAGATGGCATGACAAGCGTATCAAGCCACATCACATTGAGCCAGGACAACAGGTATTATTGTTCAATTCTAGGCTCAAGCTGTTTCCTGGGAAGTTAAAATCAAGATGGTCATGCCCGTTTGAGGTAGTGAGAATCACTCCCTATGGTGCAATTGAGTTGCGTGCTTTAAATGATCAAAGGAAATTTTTAGTGAATGGACAAAGAGTCAAGCACCATTGGGGAGGAATAATTGATCGTGAGAAGACCAATGTTGTATTCGCTGATGAGTAAGCGAGGCCCTGCGTCGTGCTGCGATGTTAAATCAGGCGCTTGTTGGAAGGCAACCCAACTTTCTGCTTTCTTTTGTTTTTATTTTTTTATTATATTATTTTTGTAGTGGTTGTTTTGATGTTGTGGAATATAAGCATAGGAAGCAAAGCCATTGGAAGGGTGCAAAAAATCGAGCAGGTGATTAAAACTAAGTGTGATATAGCCGCACAAAGGACCATACCTGGGGGAAGTATGAGTATCCGTGAGCTGCTAATTCTTCGGCCTTTGGCCTACCTGAGAGTCTTTTTTACCCTCTTGTTATTTATAATGTGCATTGAGGATATTGCACAATTTTAAGTGTGGGGTGAGGAGATTGTCTGGGTGATTTTCTATGCTATCTTAGCTTAGTGTAGTAGTTTTTGATTGCAAAAACAAAAATCAGAAAATTAGGACTTTTCCCGATAATGGATCTCCTAGACAGTTTTTTTGAGGGATTTAAGTCGAAAGGAAAAAGGCAAAAAGATTTTCTTTTGTAGGTAGTGTAGCAATTACCCCTTGGTTTTTCTTTGTGTCGCGGTTCTTTTCCAAGGGTTTTGTTTGGACCGGGTGTAGTTAGATGTATTTCTTTTAGGAGTAGGAGCTAGTGTGCTGTGATTGGAATTGAAGCAATATCTTTTGACTTTGTTATGCCTTGAGAATAGTGAGTACTTTGGTTGTGACGTGTAAGCTTAGTTTTTGACTCTTGTATAAGTACCTTAAATTGTATGATCTTAACTTTGCTTAACTGCTTTGACTAGAGTGTCTTGATGAGTCCAATCCCGAGTGAGTTATGTGCCATGTATGTGTAGGTTTGTGTGTTATTTTGTGCATTGCATTTGATGTCTAGAACTCACCCCGTGTGTTTGCAAAGCGAAATAGTAGTTTTGTTCAGTCTTGAAAGTGATATAGGCGTTTCTTTGTTGAGCCAGATATATATATATATATATATATATTACCCGCCTAATTGTTATGTATCGTAGTTAAACCTTTGAGCCTGTAATCCTATTTCTTTGGTAACCACATTACAAACATTGCCCATTTGCTTGAATTAACCATCTATTTGAACCTTTTCACCTCTCATGAGCACTTGGAATTGTTATGAACTTTGTAAAAGTTAAAGTGTAGGGTGGTTGGTTTGGCTTTTCAGTGAAACTAATGAAATAAGGAGAAAGTTGCACTGTTTTGAAAAAGTGAGAGCCACTTGAATTGAAAAAGAAAAGAAAGAAAAATAGTTATATTGTTGTGAAAAATATTCCTTAAAAGTGGTAACTGTTGATGTAATTATGCTTAAAGAAGTAGGGAGTTGATGTATATTGATGTGAAGGTGGAGTTATGGTTTGACATAAGCGTGTGGTTTTAAATATTAAAGTGTATGTATTAAAGTGCTTAGGGAGGTGTAGTCACTCTTATATCTAAATGTATCCTACCTGTCCCGCAACCTAAATTACAACTAATTAAAGTCCTACTTGATCTTAGACTGAATAAGCTCGATTAGTAGAGCAGTACACTACGGGAAAGCCTATGGTGCATATTTTATGGCATATGAATGTTGTTTCTGAGAGTGAGAGAATTCTTTCTATCTTGAGTTCCTAATTGTTCTTAAATTTTATTGAGTGTAGAACTACTCTCTTTTGTTGTGTGAGGACACTTGATTCATAAAGGAAAGGTAATGCTTGACCTCTACGTTAGAGTAAGTGAGCGGGCTATGAAAAATGCGTGGTGCTTGTGAGTCAAATCTTGAGGTGATGATGTTACACTATTGTGCTTAGTCTATTTTAAATATTCTTGGTGTAATGAGTTAGGAGGATTGTTTAAAAAGGTTGTGTCTATATAAAGTGTAGTTTGATTGCTCGAGGACGAGTAATGGTTTAGGTGTGGGGTGTTGATGGTAGGCTATAATTGCGTATTTTAATTGCTTATCGCACTTTAATTTACTGCACTTTTATTGTGTTTGAGCTTTAACCGCTAGTGTTTTGCACCTATTGTATGTTTTATGCCTTGTTGGAGCAATTCTGAGTTATGTAGATGTTGTGGAACTAATTCGAGCTATGTGGACCTTTGAAGTCTGAGTAAAAGCCCAGGGGATTAAGGCGGGATCATGTTCGGGGGTCGAGGATCAATTCTGGATGTCAAAATTCAAGGAAGAAGTAACTGCTGAAGAAATACACTAGTGCGAGGCA